AAGAGTTTCTTGAAGTTAACATAATATAATATATTGCACTATTAAAATGTTGTTTCACTCAGAAAGTGTGCTTGGGGGTTTAGAAGCTCAGGAGGTAGGAGGTAAAGCAGTAAATGTTATGCATTTTATGATTACATATAAAGTTGTCATTGGAAAGAGGATGAGATGTTGGGTGACGGAGTGGAGACTGTTTATATCTTTATGGGATGAGGGAGCTTTGATTGGTATTCTCATAGTAAGTGGTATTCTTCGTAAGAGTGAACATACTTTTATGGAGTTTAATATTAACTCTGAGTGTGATGTTCTTTACTTCAAAACTAAAGTCAATTGCAAAGTCATGAGTGGCAAAAATGGCTGAAGTGGATTGGGGAATTAAAGTAGAAGGTATGACAGTGGTTGAGCAAAGGTGAGCATGAAGGCAATATTTAATTATTGTCAACAAATTCAAATTAGAGTGACAAATGAAAATTGTTTCGTGGTTGTCATTTAATTGCAAAGTGGTGTCTGTGTCTCTTCCATGCACACTGGGCAGATCTGTTGCTGATCATGGTGATGGTGTGAATGGGAGTTTTACATACATGTATCAGAATCGTGGAGTGTAGACAGATCTGTAACCTCTGTCTATGTCTGAGTCTGATTTGACACACGGCCTGACACCTTACTGCTCTAGTTAATGCCTTCTCTGGGATATACATGATTGAGCCTACATTCAATAGTATGATCCCATAACACTTCAGAGAAACAAGAGCCAACCTGCACTGATTATTGCCTGTTAGTTTCTGTGTGAAACTTTCAAAGCACTGGTAGGTGATTATAATTGGTAAGACTGCAGGAAGTGATGTTGCACATTGGGAAAACATTCACCATAATTTGCTGCCTCAGAGGGGTGACACGGTTCTGGACGCCAAGAGACAGGTTTTATTATGTACTGAGGGAAGCAGGCACAGATTACCTTCCACTGATCAAGGGCCTCCCAATAATGCAATATCCAGACAACTCTGTGGATACCGTTATTGATCTCAATGCTGTGATGTACCATGACTGTAAAGGTTCCCATTTGTTCAGCGTGCCAGAAGATGGGAGACCACACTCTGTGCATCATGTTGCTAAATGCCCCCGGCCTGGAGGCGGTCAGGATACATTCATCCTGCACTAGCCCATTGGTGATGCAAACTTTCAGCCACCAGAAGATGGCCCTCCATTTCATATCACAGAGTCTCCTCCACAACCCAACACATGAGGCAGGTACTTTAATGATAGCCATGCTGCCATGACAAAGCAACATTGAGCAAATGGTTACATTGCTGCAGCGAAGCTTCTGCTGGCTTTACTAGTCTGGAGGATCCCCCTTTAGTACTTCCCAGAAGGGCATCCGGATTTTCTGCATTTCCTACCACTATCATGAAAACACAGTCCTCGCCACCATCAGTTCAGCAATGATCTCAGGAGCAGGAATATGAGGAGGAAGGCAGCTGCCGCATCTGTATTCTGGACAAGTTTTTGGCGAGCATTTCATTGCTTTTCCATAAATACAACCCCAAATGTTGACTGTCCAACAGAACCACATCTTACCATTCCCCAGTTACAGGCCTTCACTGTCCTCCTGAAAGAAAAGCCGTTGCTAAGACTAACTTCAAAGCATCCAATAATCCATACAAAACTCAACCGAGCACTTTTTGCATTTCCTTAGTGCTGAATTTGTCTGGCCACCTTCCGATGTAGCATCCTCCAAGGGGCTGCAGCCTGGTGGGTGAAAGGTTACTGACTCTCACTGGCCGAGACTGCGGATACCCTTACCTTGAGTAGCCCTGGGCGTTGACTTTTGACTGCTGCACTTCAGCAGTCTGGGCTGGCTGGTGGGCAAACAATAAACAACACAGACACTAGTGGAGTGTCAGTGGTGGGAAGGATGCATGTATCATCCTGAGAGAAAACTCCGGGTTTATGTTCAATGGATCCACTGGCACTGTCCTGGGGCAGCACTTAGTAAAGGTTGGAGTACAAATTTCTGGGTGTCTCTGAGATCCTGATACACCCTTTGAGCCCTGGTAACAGCAGCAACAGTGACAGCAGGCTGAACCTGCATCGTCTTTGTTTGACCATCTGTGGCAGCACTGAGACACTGGCGGGGAGGCGGGGGCTACTGTGTGTTCTGCAGTGGAGGTTGAATTAGAACTAGAATTAGGTTTGTCATCAAATGTACTCACGTGAGTACAATGAAAAGTTTACAAGTCGCCACTTGTGGCACTATCCTAGGTACCAAGGTACAGAATTTTAAGTACAAATTCTTAGGGGAAAAAAATTTTGAACAAAACAAAAGTCCAGCAACAAATTAGAAAAATAGAGAAATAAGAATTCAGAATAACAGTTCTTCCAACCCACATGCACTGGGCTTCATCTCGAGGCTGGGAGTCCCAGTCCACGCTGAGGCCAGAAGTCAAGTACACACAGAGGCCGGGAGTCTGCGCTGCACATCACCAATGCCACCAGAGGACGGGAGGTAAAAAGAAAAAGAAGAGAAAAGAGAGAGAGAAAAGAAAAGAAATGGATGGAGATGATGAGCGCGTCAGATCCAGCATTTGTGTTTCTTCTTCTTCTGACAGTTCCTCAACTTTGTGTCCCAGTGGCTGGTCAACCAGTAGTGGCTGTCTGAAAGCATCAATGCACGACAGCAGGGTTGGTGTGAGGGAAGGACTGGGAGAAAACAAAGAATTATTTATTTATAATACTGATTCAAGAGTTGCTCTGAGTCAGACACAGAAAATTCTCAAGGGCCTTGCTGAGGGATCCAAAATCGGGAGTCATATTGAGAATAAGAAGTTGAGCCTTCAGGATTGAAATGAAGGTCAATTTCTTCACGAAAATGTTGTGAATCTTTGGAATTTTCTCAGACCTGTGAGTGCTTAGCCATTGAGTATATTCAAGGCACTGGTCGATAGATTTAGGTGTGCTGTGAGAATGAAGAAATACAGATATGAAGGTGGAGTTGGGATAAAACATCAGTCCTGGTCCTATTGAATGGAGGAGCGGATGTTGGAGTGGGTTTGATGGCCTGAACAGCCTACTCTAGCTCCCATTTCTTACGTTAGTGTTTCCTTTATTTGAGTCTAGCCACAGCCTGAATGCGTCCAGAGGTGCAGCTTGGCTTTAGGTAGGGCAAGCTGTTTCAGTGTGAGGGCAAGCAGCTATGAATGCGAGTCCTGTTAAGTTGTGAGGTTGCTCAGCGGTGCGGTTAGCTCAACTGCACACTTTTCCATAATTAATCCAAGGATTGTGTGCGCCTGTGTCATTTTGAATGGCTGGAGGTTAACTGCAAAACACAGTTGGCAGTTGTTAACAGGGCCTGTCCAACTTAGCCCCCAAAATACCTTAACCCAAATTTAGAATGTGAAGGAAAACATTTCATTATAAGTAACTGGTTGTCCCATTGTTGAAAATACCTTTAACTCGTGTGCTGCAACACTTTCTAGATATGCAATATTCTGCCATTTGAATTCCATTTCATAAGTTCCACAGTGTAGTTGGCACTGGGGAGAGGGGAGAGTGAGAGGAGAAAATTCCTCATCTGAAGTGAAGCTACTAGTTACAATGATTTCCGCACATCATGAGGGCAGAGGCAATCTTCATATTTCCTGCAAACAGATGAACCAACTGGAGTTTGATGGTCTCCACTCTCCCACTTGCACCAGAGCTACTGAATAGTTAACAAGCGTATTTAGAATATTTATTGTATGATTGGAAATTCTCCAACAACACTATTGATTCTCTCTTAAGCACATGTACAGGTTTATTGTTTCCAGGCAGCAGTGGGATTGCACCAGAAACAATATTAGTTAATTTGCAACCTCCTCTGACTCCAAGCTCCCTGGACCTGCTGGATCACTCTGTACTGCCTCATTTTGCACCAATCTTGGATTGGATTATTCCAAATTCAAATTGGTTACTATTATTAAGATTTGAATTTTCTTTGTCACTGAACTTTGTTTTGGATCAAGTTTAACCTAAACCCTGCAATCAATAAGTATGTGATGGATCTCAAGATTCTTTAGCTCTGTTGTTTATTTTAACCACTATATTAATTGAAAATTGAACTTTCTTCATTATCTCCTATGTCTCATTTTTATTATCGGGGAGGCTTATCACGCAGTCTGTTCCCACATGAACTGACATTTATCCTGGAGATCAAATTCTCCCTCAGGATCCTGTACAATAGGAAACTGAATTGTTTTGAGGAAATTACCTTTGTGTCTTTTAAAATGTTGCAGAGGGGTTTCTGATGTGGGCAACTGCCTGCACACCCTTCAGTTCCTCACCTTTGTCTGCCCCCTGCAAAATATCCTACCTTCCAGCTGTGGAGATGTGGGGGCTCTCTCTATAAGGGATTTGGGCTGGTGAGTGTTACATTCAGCAGCACCAAAATTAAATTATTAAGTCAGTTCACTGGGTGCTAGGCATCATGTTGTTTTTGAGGCCTGGAGGGGATGGCGTTTCACATTTCATCGAGGTTTGCTGGTGAGGGTGGGGTGACGTTTGGTTTCTCATTTGATCTCCTTGTCTCTTGAAACTGTCCGCACTCTGGGACCTATTGGTCGAAAATGGCAGTAGGTCTGGAGGGGCAGCCGTAAAGGACACAAAAGCCTTCTGTTGGAAAGAGCCTAGCAGAAGCTGCTGTTCCCTTATCTCCCCTGTTCTGAGTCTGAGCACCTACATTTCCATCACCTGAGGCCTACAAAATCTCCAATTGCCACTCCTTGTCACAGCTCTTTTAACTGTTACCCATCACTTTGTTGCTGCATTGGTCCCCGGCCTCCCTCCTGCTTAGAGGAATCTTTTGCACAAAGGGAGAAAAACAGCCTAATGTCCCATAATGGAATGTTGCAGATCCAATCAATGCAGTATCCTTATCAGTAGGGCGAATTATTATTTGTGAAGATTGTTGTCATGACTTGATTGGAATCAGATGGAGCTGGTAATGATGCTTTACAATTTTTTTTTTGCAGCAGTATTAATGGTTCAATTCGCCATTAGTACATGTACCAAGACTACTGATTGTCTCCAGGTGAAGGCTTGGTGCATCTCTGACACAACTGGCTGTAAAAATTTATGGGACTTAATTGAAGATGTCTGTAACGTGACAGGTAATTACAAAATAAAAGCTGCATTAGCAATATGTTTGTCCTGAATTCGAATGCTGTAATTTAATAAACCATCTCATATTTTTTAAAGGTGTCTTTCTCATGCTGGGATTATATTGCAAAGCCTAACTGGCTGATTGCAATTTTCTGACTTCCAAAAATCTGCAATTTCTCATCAACTTTCATCCTTATATAATTTACACAAAAATAAAAAAAAAACTGACTTTTATTTTCAAATGATCAAATTTATTATTGGAATTGGGCTTTGGAAGCTGGTGAATCAGTGTCCAAGATTTAATAATTATCAGGAGAATCACAGGCATTAGAACCAGGACATTTTTTGTTCTTTAAAATTTGAAGTACAATGAGATTACAAAGATCTCTCTAAATTCCTTCAAGGGATGTAGTGTCACTGGATAGCCAGCATTTATTGCCATACCAAATCACCCTTGAGTATTAAAAATATAATGAGTTTGGTTTACAAATCATTCTGTAGAACTTTGAGACAGAGAAGAAATAATCATTGTGTATTCCATCAGTAACATTTTTAGTTTAGTCATTTACTTAGCCCCGCTCCCCTGACTTGTTACAATGTCCTTTCAATTTTTTCTGTTTAAATTAATTTTACTTCTCCTTTCAGAGAGTTTATATATTCCATTGTAATTTTTAACAGATTAATTCTACGTTACCTACTTTAAAAAATTGCCCCCTGTCATCCATTGATCTTTGAGTGACGTTCCTAAATTGATGTCCTCAAGGTATTAACTCATTGACCTGTAAAAGTAACTTCTCTTTACCAAAGCTTAAATTAGCACTTGGTGCTGTAACCCAGGGCTGAAATTTTTCCACCTATCCTTTTAGTAGGTTGATATTCTTTGCAGACCTAATGTGTACAATGGCAAGCTTCCGATCTGATCCAAAATCAAAACTGAGATTGAGGGGAAAACATACAACTACTCCTTTTAAATCCAGTCAAGAATGGAGGAGTTCATTGTGTCATTTCTGACTAAAGATTCTTTAATACTCCAGTGGAGTGACCTCAGCTGGTCTCAGTACTAGCTCCATAATGCAAGCTGACAGCTTTCCTCTTATGGTTCAGTGGGTTACTACATTGCCCAGTGAGAAACTACTGCATGTGCTATAAATTTCCTCAGGATTTCTCTTGCTTCCTATTGAAATTTTGGCATATTTTCAGGAGATACCTGATTTGTAGCATTTTCCTCACACAAAGGATAGTAAACCCATGAAATCCTGTGCCATAGAAGGCTGTGAAGGCCAAATCACTGAATATATTTAAGAATGGGATAAATAAGCTTTTAGGTTTTGAAGGCATCAAAGGACGTGAAGAGAAAGCTGAAATCTGGTATTGAGATAGATGACCATTTTGAATGGTAGAACAGTCAGAAAGGGCTGAATGGCCTACTCCTGTTCCTAGTTTCTACGTTTCTGTGTTAAGCTGGGTTTTCCCCTCCAGTGGCTATGCTGAAGCTGGTGGATGTTCCCTGAGATGCAATCCAAGTATTTCCAGGATTGCTCCACAGTCTGTCTTGCGTTCGCTGATTTCTGCCTGAAGGACACTTGGGGTCGTAACATCATTAATACAGGTGGAAATGAATATCAGTCTCAGCAGTCTTGGTCGTCATGATGAAATAACCAAACTACACTCGTCACTGCTTGCCAATCTGTGGATTTATTTTTTAAACGGATAGCTAGCAAGCGAGGAAGTCTCTGTCGTACCAAAATACCACTCGAACTTGTTCAAGTACTGAAGAATGCAACAACTAGATCTGTGGCAGATGGTAAGGGGAACAATGTATAATAATAGCCTGTTTGACTTCATCCTTCACCAACCTACTTACAGGGACACATCTGGCCATGTGCATAATGGCAGTGACTGCCACTCATTCCTTGTGATTGTAAAGCCTGCTCTCCACCGTGAAGACATCCTAGACTCAGTATTGTGCCACACCACTGCACTCAGTGCAACTGATTAAGGACAGACCTGGCTCCCCAAGCCATATGTTGATGAGGTGCTGTGAGCCACTAACAGCATCAGACTTGTGCAGTAACACAGTATGGAACATTGAGGCCCAGCATAATAGCTGCTCTCTGGATTGAATTCTTGAACAGACGATGATCAGTGTATGATAGTCATGCCTTAGAATGAGGTACAAACCTAACAGTCAGGACTGCCTGTAAGCTAACCACCCAAAAGCAGCAGACCCAACAGTGTGCCGGATGGTCCAATGACCAACTGACCAAAACAAATTTACTGCACTGCTGTGGAGAAGAATTGATATGTATAAGCAGGCAACTTAACAGAAGGAAGAGGTAACAGGAATCTTCACCCATAATCACAGTAGACCCCAATAAGACAGCAAAGCAGAAAGCTGAAGTGTTTGCGATGTCACCCAAGAATGGATGACCCTCCTATGCTTCCTCCCTTGATCGAATATAATAGATAAGTGCTCAGCTGAGTCAGTTCATTTCACATAGGAATACAAGTAGTCAAAGGGCAGTTATTACACCATCTTGGTCATCATCTTGCAATTGTTGTCTATCTTTTACAATGTGTAGAGGATCTGTTGTAGCAACATCATAAGGCTACACCATATGGAGATTCAGCAATTTATCTGTTATACCTCTTTTGCCTTTTTATTCTTGTTTTTGGCTGTTTTCTGTTTTGTGTACTTGTTTCGTTTTGTGTGGAATGGCAGATATAATTCTCTTGACAGCCCTTTGGCTGCAGTAGTCACATTTGGAAGTGCTAACACAGATCCCCAATCTGATCAGCACAATCCTCACAGATTAACCAGAGTAATTTTGTTTTCCTGGAATACTAATATAAATGCAACTTCTGCACTGCTTCAAACTTTGTCTGAGTCTTTTTTTCTGTGGTTGTCAAGTTTGCATCACTGCCTTATTTCCATAAGAAAAACCATGGCTGATCACTGTTTTTTTAATCTTATGTAGTTTTCCTGAACACAGAATTACTACTCTCACACAGGACTGGTAAACAACATAGGTTTAATTGACTTGAAAATCTCAAACAGGTTTACTTAACAGGCAAACTGATAACTTGCAGTTATACAACACCTTATGTGCACATCTTTTCTGCTAGATGGTGCTGCCTAGAGTCTACGCTGCTGCTGGTGATGTGGTGTCATCCAGGACATTGGCTCATTGGTATAGACTGCTATTAGAGCATTAACACAACAATGTTAGTGTGTTTAAGGGCTAATGAGTGTCAGGGTCAGCGGACCCATTGATGAATGTAATGTCAGTGAATGTGAGTATGATGATGGTGAGAGAATGTTGGCGGCAATTACTTTAGTGTGTGTACCATCATTGGGTGTAATGTTTGTCAGTGTAGAGTCAGTGGGTATTGATGGTATCACATCATTGGGCGTAATTTCAGCTGATGTACAGCTTGTAATGTCAATGGATGCAATGTGGATGGGTCAGTTAATGGAGACTAATACACTGAAATATTTCTGACCTAATCTCATGTTTACAAGGTGGATAATTAATGGATGTGTTTTTGTTTCCCTACGATGAATTGTGATGAGAAACAATTAGCCAATAAATTTCAGGATAAATCTCCAAACCAAATGGTTGCACTTTGGTGATCTCAGCTGCCTGTTACCGAAACGTCAATGTTGAAGTTGCTAATTAGAATGTCACAGGATGACTAGAGAAGGATATGAAATAATTCACTCCTTTCCTGTTTAGTGACTGCTTGAGGAAAATACAGACTGTCACACCAGAGAGACTGCATTTTAACCACCCTATATGTTGGCAGCTTGCAACTATGTGCAGTCCTGTATCAGTGGTTTTAAACACAGCCAGGTCTTTCAAATTTAATTTCCAAGCTTCCTGTCCTCTCAATATCAGTGAGCATGACAATGACCCACCCAGTGAAATTGAAACTCCGGTATTTAAAACAAGTGAAATGAAGCACTTCACGTTGTCATGGACAGAGAAATAGCTGGACTGGGGTCATCACAGGTAAAGGTCAAGCTCCTTTCACCAACATCTGTTTGGATGTACAGGTAGGCTGTGTGGCACTGGCAGGAGAAACTGCTTCCTTGCTGACACAAAGAAACTCGTGGTTGGGGCAATCGGCCACACAGCTGAATCCAAAGCAGGAAGTATTTCGATGATCTTGCTGAGCACAACGGGAGAGGTGTGGCTGTTGCCCTACTCCCTAATGCCTGACACTCTCACTTTGCCTTCTCAAGCCTACTACAACATGTCGGTCCTCATTCCACTGTTGCAGTGAAACTAGAAGAGTCCCCCAGAATCACAGGTGAAATAAAGTTGCTGGTCATTGCAATGATCTCCTCAACTGATAGAGTGACCCCATCAGCATTGACAATCGAGTGTTGCAATTAAATGTGTGCCTTTGGACCTTCAACAGCAGCTTGCACACTGGGGACCACCATATCTAGTGTGTATAGCAGCCTAGCTATGGCATTTCAGGCCCCACTGCAGCACAGGTTTCTCCAGCATGGCACTAGCAACAGGAGTGTGGTTGGACTACGAGGGGCAATGTCAGGGGAGATTACTTAAAAGTGGTTATTTTGTTGCCATTTTCATCTTAGCCCATTCATAACCAATGTGCAACCTCCCCTGCTCAGGGGTAAGTGCAGTAGGCTTTGGTGAGGACTTAGCCTACTCCAGGCTCAGCAGATGACAACCAAGAACATCCTATTGGTTGGAGCAGAGATGTGAGCAGCCCATTTGTATGTCTGCTGAAGCCAAAGGGGCTGCATCATGTTGAAACAAGAGAACAAATTTGTTGTGGCACACAGGAATGCATGTGGGTGTTTTTGGTATCGCTATATTGTTTCTGTTCCATAGTTGAAGAATGTGCATACTTTCACCATAAAGTCTTCAAAAAAAATTGCTGCAAGGACAGAGCTCGACTTGCACACTGAATGTAAAAGTGAACCATCAGCACGGATTTGGCTGGCCATCAGTTTTATCAATCACCATGTGGTGGATGCTGTGTGCAGTTGCATCTGAAATTCTTGTGCATCTTCGCAATGTAGTCCCGTTTCATCTGCTTAATAACTTGTGCCCAGTTATAAAGTATGGGTAACACTCACGCCTGGGGTGAGAAATTGAGGCTGACTACTCTTATAATGGTGCAGCTAAACTACAGCAACTTTTATACAACAACTACTACTGTGAATATAGCATGTCAAAGTGAAAAAAAGAGGGTTAACCTCTTTGCCGAGTATGTGAGAAACATTATCTTTGGGCTTGAGAAAATGGGCTTGATTTGCATGCTGTCATCAAAGTAAATCCATATATTTTGCAGCAATTTCCTGACTTTCACATCCTTGGTTGCTAGTTATCTGAAGAATGGGAAGACATGAATTCGGGTAGACTGAAGGGAGTTTTGAATGGGATTCTCGGTTGTGAGATTTCTTTGTGTAAAAAACATTGAGAGGCCAGGAGACTGTGATGATGATAACAATTTAATTGTTGCGTTATTCTTGTTATTGTCGTTCTATGACTGCACTCTGAGTATCTAAATGAACCTTTCAATAATTAGGACAGCAGCATAAACCTATGTTGATGAATTACCTGCATCACATTCTGTGTTTCTGTCTTCCACCTTTGTCCGCCCTCATTGTAAGTCCTTTACTTTGTGCATCCTGCAGCAATTCCAATGTGTAAATAAGAAGGAAAGGAAACTGTAATTATTTACACTATGTCATCAATGAATCCCTCAAATATTAATTTCAGCCTTCATTTGCAGTAAATGATCATTAATCATGTAGATACGCAGAGGAGATTTCATTTTGAAAAGGATGTTAGAAATAGAGGGACAGACTAACAATAAGTTAATTAACAAAATAAAGACCATGGGCTGAATTTGACAGGAAATTGCTCAGTATCAATTTTGGCAGGTTTTGTGGCGTGTTTCTCTCTGTGAGGTCCAGTAAGATTTCTCATGCTGTCCCAAACTTGCCTCTTTACCGATGCACAACGTCTCCTAGTGAACTGCTCACTGTAAGTGGACGTACTCACTTCTGCCAGCACCTCCCAGAATTCCTGGTGCTGCCACCATATTGTAAACACAGTTGTGCACCAGGTCAAGCACCATTAGTCCGAAGCTGCCCTGCATAGTTCCTGTCGCTTTCCCCAGTCATGTTTGGCAAAAGGGAAGTTGGCAGCCTGTTTTCTAGACAGAAGCCTGGAGTTCCTGGTGCACAGGGTGGTACAAAGAAAGGTCATTCTTTCCCCACAAGACTAAAGAGACCACTACACCAGCCTTGACAACCTGATCCGAGGTTGCCACCAGGGACTGCAATATCCACGATCTGGAAGAGCACCCAGCAATATAGGAAACAGGTCAATGATCTTTTCCATTCCATCAGCATAAGATCCACCATCTTCTCTCTACTCCCTCACACTCACCCCATCTCTCCTACTGCACACATTTCCCATCAAAGATCTAGTCTACTTCTCTCACTACTGCTTGCAACATCTTCCCTCACTCGCTCCCTGCACCACTAAACCTGTACAGCCTTTGCACTACCTACTTAGTCACTGAAGGCACCAAACCACATTTCCCAACTGCACCATCATTAATAACTGTACCAGCCACTTTCATCTCACTCAAACTTTCTCTTTGTCTCATTCCAGGAGGAAAAGGCCCACAATTGGGGTAAAAGAGATAAGGTGAATGGTGAGGTGTCTACATTTGGCTCCTTATCCCTACTAGGAGGTAATTCTGACCATGACTGCCCCAAGCAGCTAACTAACTGTGCCCAAGTCCCTGGACAGATAGTAGAGGTGGAACCACCTGAGTAAAGGCTGTCCTGCTTGACCCTGACTAAGGACTACTCCCCTTAGACTTTGAGATGTGGCCATTTGCTTCCTGCACATGCAGTGTATTAGCCACATACACTGCTGGTGCACGGTGAAGGTGTGAGATTGATGTAGCACACTGCTGCACAATAAGTCCACTCCCTTAACTGCTCACTGTCCATAACCATAACAAGCTGCCTGGCTTTGTGTCTGCACTAAAATGCAAATCAAGACAGAGGTACTGTGCACCTTTAAGCTCTGACTGAAGGGGCAACGCAGGCACAAAGAGAGCAAATGAGGATCTCTGTGATGCTCCCTGGCTCCATGAGATGGGTGCCTGTGTCTTGCAGAAACAATGTCCTCGCAGCAGCATCACAATGAAAGGTCCTGGGACCTCTCCAAACTGCTCTATTGAAGTGGAACATTGTTTTGTAAGTGTGACATGAGGGTGCGGAGAGGCTGGTGCATTACAGGTGCCAATGTCGGTGGACAGGGAGTGCATACAATCACTGCCCATCACTGCCAGTGTGCCCTGAAATGTTGGCACTGGCCATCTGGAAGAGCAAGGGGCGAGCTAGAATTGCCAGGTAACTGCTCTGACTTTCACATTGAGTGTTGTTGCTGTGTAGTTTCTTGGATAATTCAATGCACCAGCCAAGATGAATGGGAAACTATATATAAATAAGGCAAGATTAATAAATAAAGAAATATTAAAACTTGCAAATAGGCCTCTAGCTATTCCTCACTAAGGGCTCCCCTCAATCACACTAATTGCTGCCACAGCATTACACATGCTCTGGCCAAGCAACTCATTGAGCAAGGTCACAAGAGCAAATAAACTCCCAAAAAGAACCAGCAGATACAGAGAATTATTAGGAGGAACTATTTGGTCAGCTGGGAAACCTTGTGAAATGTACAAGATTGAAAATGGAGAGGAATGGATGTGTTCAATCTATTAGTTGTAAAGAACATCACTGCAAATAGAATTCCCCACAGTTGAAAGAGGCCATTTGGGCCATCGAGTCTGCAACAACCCTCTGAAGAAGTTCCCACCCAGAGCTCCAGTCCATCTCTGTAACCCCACGTTTCTCATGTCTAATCCACCCACCCTGTGGGCAATTTCAGCATGGCCAATCCACCTAACCTGCACATCTTTAGACTGTGGGAGGAAACTGGAGCACCTGCAGGAAACCCACACAGACACTGGGAGAACATGCAAACTCCACACAGACAATCACCCAAGGCTGGAATTGAACATGCATCCCTGGCACTGTGAGGCAGCAGTGCATATCACTGAATCACTGTGTTACCCTAAATTGAATTGTAATCCCACCAGTTACCATGATAGGATTTGAACCAGTATCGCTAGGGTACTCATCTTATTGAATCATTAGTCCACTGACATTGCCTCTTTTGCTACCATCTCTCCTCTCTACTATGTGCTACATTGTCTCTGACTGTATGTGACGAGGCATACAATGAAATCAAGCAAACTTGATAATTACAGTCCCGTACCAGCCAAAATTCTGCTGCAATAGATGGAGAACCTTAGATATGACTAAAATGAGTTGCTATAAAGGGGAGCTAGATTTGCAGTCTCTGGGAGTTTGTCAGAATGAGATTTGTCTGGAGTTGTTAGTGGCAGGATAGGTAAATGCAATGCATTCTGTCCTGTTTGTTCTTGGCTTATAAATGGAAAAATAAGGAAGCAATAAAATAATAAAGGCATAGAATCTTTCCCATGAAGGGAGACTTCATATGGGAAGACTTTTCTGAAGGCAACTTCACAGAAATGAGAAAAATTGAAAACACGGGCCAGCTTGTTTCATTTCCAATTGCTGTAATTTAAACCATGGTTCTTTGGATAATTCAGACAGTATTAAATCATCTGCATCCTGGCAAATCTCAACAAATACATTCAAATATAATATTCTTTTAATTTGTTGCAGGTGAAGCTTGCACAATAAAGGATCTCAGCAGTTGTAACCTAACCATCCAGTACCTAACTGACAGTTATCCAGCATTTAAGGAGTGCAGTTGCCTCGAAGACAAATCATGTGAATTTCTGAGACCTCTCAGAAGCCAGTGCACTAGCCAAGGAGGTAATGCAATACCCAGATCTGTGTAATGAGGTGGTATCAATGAATTTGCAAACAACCAACGTTCTATCATTTTTAATAACTACCGATGGAAATATAAGGTGTAAGACTTTCCCAGCATTAACACTTGCTTAAATATTATGAGGAGACATAGTCAAAGCATGTTAAATGACTCATATAAAGAAGATATAACTGTGGGCAAAATATAGCCCACAGTTTTAAACTCTGCAAATTAAGAGTAAGTAGAGAATTCAATGTTTCGCGGAAAAAGTAATGAATAAACATATGGAACAAATTATTAGGAAAGGTCATTGAAGAGAGTTAAGGAGGGAACTGTTTTAGAGAAAGAATATGGTGAGATTAACTAAAAACAGATTGTCTTATCAGACCAAATGTCCTTTTCCCATTCCTCAAAATTCCTAGATTCCCACAAAAATGTGACAGAGAGTTTGGCTTTTAAACTGAAAGATCAAATCAAAGTAAAACTTTCCAGTCTTTATGGCTACAGCCTGAAACAGGTGTAACAAAGTTGCTATTGACATGTGCAAGTATATTTTAGTTAAGTTTCTAAAGGGTGTTTGACATTTGAGTATTTATTCCACTTTTCATGCAGAGCTCTCGAGAACAGCTCCTGCTGTTCCATCAACACATCATGACTGGAGTCATCGTTCAAGACTGACAAGAATTAATAACCATTTGAAGAAGGACGATGATTGTTCAGTAGCTAGAAATCAATGTCTAAAGTCCACAAGTTGCAGTTCAGTGTATGCAAGGTTTAAGAAGATGTGCAAGAACAAGAAGGGCAATTGCAACATTGCATCTGTGGCAGAAGAATGTTTGACTGCGTGGCAAGCATTGCAGCACACAAAACTGTCTAACTGCACCTGCTCAAGGCAGGAAAGACTAAAATGTCAAAGAATACGGAGCAGCCTTTTCAACAATGCTTGTGTGCAAATTGCATATACAAACCTGAATACAAGCAGTGATGAAGGAATAAAAGGAAATAATTCTATTGGGGACAGCAGTATGTTGACATTCAAACAGTTTGAACATGGATTTTGTTATGTTTTAAACATGCTATTGAGTTCTGGACCATGTTTCCCTACATAGTATTTACAGTGTTATTTCTGTTGTATGTACAGGTGACTTCACGGAGAGCAGGAAAACAGCAACAGAATCTACTGCTTTCGCCAGATATGATAACAAAAGTAAGAAATAAAAGACCTTAGCTCATCAGGAGCACATATTGGGAAATTGTCAATGAAACATACGATTTTACACGTTGTCATGATGAGTACAAGAAAATCTCACTAGTTACAATTTTATTTTTCTTGGGTGTGACATAAATCAAAAGTGCTTACGTTTCTGAATCTGCCTGATGTAGCCATCTTTTTCCAGACATTTGTTATGCAGCTGAACTTTAGGGACCAGTTAGACAGCAGTTAGTCAGTGTGCAGCTGCTATCCCAGAAATATATCATTGGCTCCCTCGCCACTCTTTAACCTTCAAACAGTGTTCTGTTTACCAGCTTCCAACTGTCAGTGGAAAATTCTAACGTTAAGAGCGAGTTAAAGGACTGAGTGCACTCTGCTAACATTAAAAGCACAGACGATTAGGGTTAAAATGTTCCCAGATGGACCAGTGGACTGCCTGGGCACCTTTTAAACTTGGCATCAAACTAGATTGCAGTTATTGAGTATTTGGCTTAAAAACCAACTGGTATGAAAGTACCCCTCTGAGAGTCAGGAGCTCACCTTTTAACTTTAATGTGGTCAGAATGTCAAGCTGCCTACCAAGTTATACTTCAATGTTTTAAGTTAATTTGCTTCCAAAATTATGGTTGCAAATCAGTAAATAACTTTCAATTTGGCCAGCAATTGATTTTCTGTACCAGTGTATTCCATTTACACTGCAAAACAAAGGTTATTTTAGCACCCAATACTATCTAATTTGATAGATTCTGCAAAGATCTTTCCTGCTCACAAAGTAAATTCAACAAGGATAGAATATCTTCCTAGCATTATATCCAAAAAATTATGGGCCAAATCTTCTGGTCTCTGGGATCATTGGAGAGTGAGGCAGCAATATTTTCCCAGTGGAACTCCTGATGCACTCACCTATGTCAAAATTGTCTGGAATGTTTAAACTTCTGATGGGCAAACACCGTGGTCCTGTAGACCTTCCTAGAATGTCTCCAATTCTAAGAAAAGAGTCGGAGACTTGGGTTACTGCTATAGAACTATCCCGAGTAGCTCCTCAAGAACTATCAGACAGAGTAAAACCTAATCTACCTCCTGGATAACTGCAAAACTCACACTCTCATTCACACCCACTGACCGCCCAACGAAACTGTCCTGATTTCCAATTATCCCTCCTAACCACATGACTACCTCCCCAAACCCTTGATGATTCGTTGACCCAACCTAACTACATCCCAACCCCAACGGCTGCACCTATCTGGCTATCTCCCCCAAGAACCCATTACTCTGACAGAAAATAAATGCCATCCATGACTCAAGAGTTTGGAAAGAATAATGATGGATTAGATCAATAATCGAATATTAGGCTGCTAAAGGGTGATTCAACACATCCACTTTTTTCCATGCTGTTCTTGTATAAAATGTAACAGAAAAAGGGTCCCAACCCAAAACGTCAACTTTCTTGCTCCTCTGACGCTGCCTGGCCTGCTGTGTTCCTCCAGCTCCACACTGTGTTGTCTCGGACTCCAGTATCTGCAGTTCTTGCTATACCCAAATCTCTCATGTCTGGTTGCTGGATTTTGCCCCATAACCTGAAAATCTCAGTATAACCTGAAAATCTCAATACAACCATTCTGAGTTCATTATGCATTGGTGCAGCAATAGTTATAGCTCAATTTAACATTCCTATAGGGATATTTTGTTTATTTTCAGTACAATGAGCTCCAAAAATTATCCTTTTAAATAATAGATACTTCCATGAATCAAAGATAGAAGCAGCATCATTTAGCATAGCAATTGAAAAAAATGTCCTACTAATTAGGAAAAGCATGTAAATGGCTTCATGTGTACTAAATATGAGAAATTATTTTCCACTGTGGTTAAATGCTACAAATCCTCTGGTAATCCTGGCAATGGTAAACAAGTAAACGCTTCACACGCATAACATTGGAGATTAAACCTGGCATACAAAATTGAAAGCCACAAAGGACTTGTCAAGCAAGTTGTTTGAAAAGGCAGCATGAACCCTTTCCCTATTATCACCTCTGGCCTTGCAGATTTCTACAAGTGATTAATTTTTATTTTGCATCATATGTGCAATTTCCAGCATGGAAGGTTTAAAAGTGCGTCTGATCCTTGTTACAAATCACCCATCGAGTAAATGCACACTACAATTACTGCTCGAAACTGTGGAGTTACAGTTCAGGCTCCAGCCAGGCAGAACTGTGTTTATATTTCCAGCTGCAGGTTGGCCGCAACTTTAACTATTTTGCCTGGGAGAAAGTTGTATGCAGTTGAGATAAAGGGCAGAGCAGAGTCCACTCTTATAGCCATTAAAATTTTAAATGCTTGCAAAGTAGAAATGGATCCATAGACCCCCATTAGCATTTAATACACCAGCTTTTACACTGCACTGAATTCATGCTCCATGCAGACTCCCTCCAGGGTGTTTAACTGGGATGTTCTTTGGAGTCAGATTTGACCCTGGCTCCAGAATTACATGGCCATTTGTACATTGGTATAAAGCCAACACTATCTTACACTGATGCTATACTTGTACTCTGCTGGAAGAAAGCAGTCTCAGCTCTAATTGAGAAAATGTTTAGGACTATGTGGCAAGAGCAGTGTAATGAGGACAATTTGGATAACTTAAAAAAAGTCAGTGCATGTGTAATGGGCCAAATGGTCTCTTCATAATGCCTAATGATGGAATTAACCTGTCAGGATAAATTGGAGTTTATAAGAATGAGGAGTGATCTTATCTAAACAAACCAAATTTTTACAGGGCTCCGTAGAGTAGGTACAGAAAGGATGTTTCCCCTGACGGTGGGAGTGTGTGTCTTGAATCAGGGAACACCGTCTCAAAATAAGGAATAGCCCATTTAAGACAAAGATGAGGAGGAACTTGCTCACTAAGCGGATACTGAATCTTTGGAATTCTCTACACCAGAGAGCTGAGGAGGGTCAGTGAGTGAGTGTGTAGAACACAGAGATTGATATATTTCTATATATTAAAGACCTTAAGAGATATGAGCATAGTGCAGGAAAATGATGTTGAGCTGGGAGTTCAGCCATGATCTAGTCGAATGGTGAAGTAGGTTCAAGGGCTGAATAGACTACTTCCGCTCCTATGTTCCTAAACGTCTCTGGAGCGGTACAGGAATCAGGCAGAGGTCCAGCTGAAGTGGGCCCAGTTCAGCATTTTGTGGGAAACAGCCTGGAACTGGCCTTTCATCACTACCATGTTAGAAGTAGAAATAAGGAAGACTATAGGTGGTTTGCTGGGTCTGTGGAACAATTGAAAATAAGATCAAGGAGTTGGAGTAGGCCATTCAGGCCCCTCAAGCCTGCTCTGTTATTTCATAAGATCATGGCTGATCTTATCTCAGCCTTAACTCCATTTTCCTGCGCCCCATAACCCTTCAACCCAACACTAATTAAAAATATGTCCATCTCCTCCTTAAATGTACAAAACGTCCTGATATCCACTGCACTCTGGGGTAGTGAATTCCACATGAGTTACGTAATACTGGCTAAGTTGGAGGTAAACTTTCCCACTTGAGTTACCATACCAAAGAAGCATTGTACATCCTTAGAGTACTTTCGTGCCAGAAATTCACTGATGGCTCTTGCCTTCTTTGGATCCATTTTGTGATGTTCTTGGATACTGTGTCCTTGGAATGTAATTATCACACTAGTATCAGGAATTGTTTTTGGCCTCGATACAAGCCTTCCACATTATCAAGTGGTTGAAGTAATATAAGATCTCTACAGGAGCTGCCATCCCTTCAGGCTATCATTCCTGATTAACTAAGACAAAGTAGTTGGATTTTTCCCTCTTACTGTTGAAGTTTCTGATCATACATTTTTCCTCTCCAGTCTGTTGCCAATTTATGGTTTGATTTTATTGTTTTGTGAAGTTCTTTTCCCTCTTTCTTGGAGTCTTCCCACTCTTCAGTCATTTAATCAAAGTCTTCAGAAGTCTTTTTTTTTAACCGGCCTTCATTTCCAGCTATTTTTCTTTAAATCATTTGACATGTCTTATGGCTTTTTACTCAGCTCCAATGTCTTCCAAGAGTCTGCCTTCTTCAGTCGTGTGACAGAATTGAAAATAATGTCATAAGCAGCACTAAAAGATTTCATGTGTACATCACAAGTAAAGAGTGTGGTAAACGTTAAAGACAGGAAAATGTGAGACTATAATTTATAGGCAGAAAATCACTAATTTGTTCAAGCAAATATATTGTAAGAATGTAAGATATAGGAGCAGGAGTAAACCCGTGAATCTACCTGCCACAACAACCCAGAATAAACAGTGTAAAGACGGGAGCAGGAAGTTTCAAAGGGATATAGACCAATTAAGTGATTGGGAAAATCCATGGCAGTTGAATCTCAATGTGTACAGATTGAGAAAGACATGTAATTTTGCTGTCTTTTAGATTCATGAGCAAGAATTGTGATTGATATAATCTCACGCTAAATTTAGCACCTTTTATTAAGAATTTTAAACAAAACATTAAATCACATAGTTAGCCCTCAGGCTGAGATGACTGCAGGATATATAGGAGTGGGCTTTGATTGACTCTTCCTGTCAATATAGATTTTCAGTCTCCCATTTTCTCAATTGCTGTGTGGGATTTTCAAATAGAATATAGTTTTGAAAGAGCTCAAGCTCGATCATTTTTGGATTCTGATTGGTCAGTTGGGTTCATGCTTGGTTGTTCGCATATTCCCAAGTTGACATCTATTCGACTTTTTCCCCTCCCACTGCGATTCGCTATCTGGTTTCAATTAGCCTCAACCAGTTTGCTGCATTCAACAAAACCAAAACACTGGGAATGCTGGAAATCCGAAATAAAAACAGAAAGTGTTGGTGAAACTCCTCAGGTTCAGCAGCATTGGAACAGGAGTAGGCCATTCAGCCACTCGAGCCTGTTCCACCATTCAATGATATCATGGCTGATCTGTGATCTAACTTAATATACTTGCCTTTGGCCCATATTCCTTAA